GCTCTACTCTTGCGCTGCCCTCATTTGCTTACTCGTTCGCTGGCTGCTCAGCGCGTGCGCCCGTACTTAACGAGTGCTCGTTTGCAAACAGCCTCGCTTGTTGTTCGTGAGTTGCGCAAGCTCAGAGCAAACTAACGGGCGAGCGAGGGGCTAAAATGAGGGAAATCCGAACCCTACCTACAGTTTTACGCCGACTCCGAACGGCGATTGTATTTTTATGAGAAGCTGTTTTTTCATGGCAGAAATACCCTCGGAGGTTTTCCATTGCCTGCCGAGGGACGATCGATGTTAAGAAAAAACCTTTTTTCTATATTTTTTTTTGCGATGTTGCTTTGACCAGGGCTTAAACCCAGGTGTAGTAGAAGCGCGCACTGCTTACGACTACACCACAGCGGCCGACGCGAGTCAAGGGTATACACTTTATATATATATATTTGCTAAAAATGTCTTTACACACATTATGGGTATTCATGGAAACGCGTAAATCCCTCGTAACCACGTAAACCTCGCAAATAATTAGATTTTTCATACAAAATTAAGTAAGTTTACGAGGTTTACATGGTTACGAGGCATTTGCTTGGTTTGATGAATCGCCCTATTATTTCGTAAGCTATATAACCGGGCTATCAATGGACAGTCATACAAGTTTCCACTTCAACTTGACCTTTGACGTACGTCAAAGAGAACATAGTAATTTTAATAATATTTTTTTTCTGTACTTTAAATACCTGCTTGGTTTCTTTCTTATTATGATTTTTTTGGACCTGTAATTCTTAACCAAATTTCCGTGATTTGCTTTTGATGTTACATATATTCGCTTCAGTCATTTCTAATGGAGCTATTTGGAGAATTTATTTCTAGCAAAAACTTTAAAAACAGTAATTTTGTTTACTTGTCGGGCAATATTTTTTTTCATACGGTTATACGCTGGATCCTTGGCTAAAAACTTCTGTGGTAAAACTGTCCCCCTACCTCTCCCTTCTTGAATATTTAAAGTCAGAGAGTAAGCTCCTTCAACCGGGATTTCCAGCAGAAATTATCAATGTCTGGCTATAAAGAGAATCGATGCTCAAATAATTAAAAAGCTATAGGTCTGACCTTTAATTAGATAAGAATTACGTAACTATCTGAGACCCTCATCACCCGTAATTCCAATAATTCAAATACTTATAAAAAAACGGGGTGATTTTTTTTAATAACAATATTCTGATCCGATTCGGCTGACAGATACGACTTTGAAAACAAATTTTTGTTCAAAATTTCTGGAAAATAATTACTTATTTTTCATTTCCACCTATTTAGCTCGCTATAAGCTCAAATTTTTCAAACCAGTCGCAGAAGAAAGTATTAAAAATTAATTACAAAAACTAAAATCGAAACGAGCTGATGATGATGATCGCAGCCAAAGGAATGAGAATGAAGAATTCTTTTTAAAAAGCTTTAGAAAAACCTGACACATTCAGTTTTGGCTTGTAAGCGCTGTTTCAACAACGATGTCGCCATTATGCTAGATTCTAATTGTTTCTTGAAAATACTTGACGTCCGCATTCGCATCGGCGGATGTCTAAAATTCCACATTCGCAACATTCCTAGTTTACTAATTCAAAATGTGTTAAAAAAAATTTTTTTTAAAAGTATGCGTATTTAAAAAAAAATTTTTCTACATCTTATTATAAAAGTGATTTGTGTTATTTATTATTACCCTCTGAAGGTATTATATTCGTTTTTGGTTTTAAAAACTATATTTTAACAAGATTTCATTTTTTAAATAAAATATTTGTTAAATCGATTTCATGTATTTTATTAGAAAAAAATTGGCGATTTTTTTCAGAAATTGCGCTTTTTTTAACAGTCTGGACACACTGGTGACTGATAGGCCTATCGCACTTTCAAAAAGTACAAAATATCGTAAAGAAGTACATTTGACTGTACTTCGAAGTACGAAGTACAAGAGCGAAAAAGGAAGTATGTACTGTACTTCCGAAAGAAGTACGGTTGGTCACATTAGACATACAACATTAGGGGTATTCTCTGAGTCTTGCAAAGCCCTTGCATGGTGCACAGATTGTACGGATTGCACGGTAAAAACCGGTTTTCGTATGGGACAGCTTTGCAAACCGTGCAATCCGTGCACCGTGCAAGGGCTTTGCAAGACTCAGAGAATACCCCTATTGTAAATTCATAAAAGCGTTGTAAAAATACACATGACGCTGTTTGCAAGTGGACTACTCAAATTGCGGAAATATTCGAATTTTTGCTTACCTGTGCATTTTAAAAACTGTTCAAAAATAAATACTGCCATAAAGTGTTTTTTTCTTTCGAGATAAAAAACAGGGTTTAATACTATGTCTCCATTGAGAGATTTACCTATAAATATTTGATAAATCCAGTTGCTAAATCATAACCGTCTCCATTGCCACAACGAGATATGTATGTTTGACGTTCACATTTTTAAATATTTGACGTTTTCTTATGTATGATTTCATAAATATAGTTGCTGACATTGAAATACAGACAGATAAAAGGAAGGTACCAGGATCGGAGATTCATTATGTGAATTCTTATTATTATTCGTGGTAAATATGTATAATATATAGTTTTGAAAATGTAACAAATAGTACCATATTCGGAACCATTTTCTCGAATTTAAGAAAAATTATCGAAACAACATAACATTTGCGTAAAGAACATTTTTTAAAGAGTTGTTGGGAAAATAATTCCTCTTTTTCATAAGATCGTGGGCCTTTGGCATATCATGAAGACCTTGCTAGCAAATATGCTTGAGTCGAATTGAGTTCTAGAGGATGGTTGGGGCAGTGTTATCAAAGCAGCACCATCGCCGAAGCGCGTAAAAGATTTTTAGAAAGCGAAGAAGACTCTGCATGATATTACCATAAAACATATTTTCTGAATTTTGTAGTTCTTAAAATAATATCTTCTTAATTTATTACAACCAAAGTTATGTAAATATTAATAATTTTCCTTTAAAACTACACTGAGAGAAAAATCAACCAAAAATTGGTTTATATCACCAAATTCAAACTTGAAAAGGAATCAACGTCATTTTTGTTAATATTAACAATGCCTTAGTTGATATTTTCAACAATGATTTGGTAATATTAACCACAATTTTGTTTACATTAACTAAACTATTGGTTGGCGATTTTTCGTCTGAATAAGTTTATGTTATGCACTTCACAGATACTTTTTCATAATTCGGAGAAACAAAACAAAAATTTTTATTATCCTTTTAACACGTTGCCTCTGACGGGGTTAGCAAATAACAGCATGCATCTCTACACACTCAGCTACCGCCGCTTTATAAATGTGTCTTCAAATGTTCAACTTGAATCAATTTTCTTCGTCGTTTGATTTGGTTCTGCACTTCACAGAGGCTTTTTCGTAATTAAGAAAAACCAAAAACAGAAAAAAATAAAAATTTTCTATCGTTCTGACGGCACTCGTACTGCTGGAAGCCAACAAATAATAGCAAGCACCAACTTGAATCACACTTCTTACAATCGGCTTATTGACTATGAAAAAATCAACCCATAACTTGGTTGAAAAAACAATTGTGCTTTTGGCTCAGTGTAACCAAAATATAAAAAACACGAAAATTCATGTTTCTTTCAATTGGCTATATTTCAATGTCCACAACTGTATATTGAAAATACAAATGTCATTTGACTTATGGCATGTGAATTTGTGGTTGCTGCACCCATCAAATTGTATTTATTGATCAATATTATTGAAGATTTAGGGAAGATTTAATTTAAATCTACTGCCTTTCGAGATTTAATTTTATATGGTAAATCTTAAAATATTTAACGTTAAATCTCGCTAGAGGGCTAAATCTTCATTAAATCTCACAATTGAGACATAGTATAAGATTTAATATTATAACGGCTGAAAAAATGCTAATAATTCATTTTTTGACACCTTTAAGTTAAATTATCTCAAATGCTAGAGCAACCTATTGAAATTTTAATCTGAAAATTTTATGACTAACTCCTTTTATTGGTGGGGGTGCTACCTCTAAAAAGTATATGTCGAAAATCACGCTAGTATAGCTTTCGAGTAATTTGAATAGTCATTATTCTTAAGTGAAAAAATAAAACTTAATATTAATTATTATCTTCAAGCGAAAAAAATTAAAATTATAAAATAATCATTATTTTTGATCGATAAAAATTAAAATCAAATACATGTATATTATTATTTTTAATTTTTATTGGCTAAACTCAAAAAATAAAAATCATTTTAGACTACCGTCGAATACAAATATGTGAGTATAGTTAAAATTGTTTTAAAACGCTTACAACATGCTGACTTTTTTTGGTTAAAATTTAAAAAATAATCATTCTTTTACATGCCTGCTTTACTTACATACAAAATAATCTCAAAGATGGCAAAAATGAACAAAGAATACACATTTTTCTCCATGTGGAAAAATGTTCAACTATGAGCGGTTCGTCCTCCTAAACAAGCAACCCCTGTTGAATAAAGGTTACATTTTCGCTATTAGATAAGTATATATGTATATTCATTTAATTGAACATTGTCAAGAAATTTTACTTTTACGAGTTTTTTGCGGCAGATCCCCGTAGCGTCCCGCCAGATTAACCCAACCTAACCTTTAAGTTGGTACAATTAAAAAAAAAATAAGTAAACGGTTCTACAAAAACAATAAGAAATTTGTATGTGAAAATCTTTGCTTTTAACCGGCTTCAGAAAGGAGGAGGGTATCTATTCGTCGAAATATTTTTTTATGTATGTTACCGGATAACTTGGGGTCTAGTGAAACGTCTAGCACATTTTGTGTATATTTGGAATGTTTACCTCTACTGCTTTGGCACTAATTGCTAGAGTCTCATATTTCATTTATCGGGAAACATTTCACTTAGAAATTGGGCAAACAAATTGTTAAAATATAATGACCGCTCAGTATATTAATAAATCGTTATTATGTATCGATATGTATGTATTTATTACCAACTTACTCATTATGTGGTATATCCTCATCTTGGTCAGCGACCACAGCAAATACATTTAGTTTAAATAACAAAACGAACAAGCACAGCGCCAAAGCGCCAATATGCTTGCGATCCATGGTGAGGTGGTGGTTGTGTCGTGTGTGTAAAGGTTCGTAGGCGTCTAGCTGTATGATTTGCCTGGCTGTTGCCTTGTTTTTTGGTTATTTAAATTTGAACGCTGCACAATACATAGAATTTTCTGTTGGATTGTGTTCCTTTTTTTGTTCGTGTTCAGTTGGCGCTTAAATGCAAGCGATATGCGTTTTAGCAAATTGCTTTTGACGCTTTATTTACGGCCTTTTATTGTTGTATTGTCTGCATAGAGTACATTATTGTTTTGTAGACCAAGCGTGTAAGTGTTGATGATTTGTTTTCCCTTTCACAGTTGTTTGTTGTTACTTTCAATTTATGGTTGTCTTTGCATTTTTGTTTTATAATGTTTTTATTATTGTTTTTTGTCCACCGTTATATTATACCTAGTTGGCTTTTGTTTTTTATTTATTGTTTGCTTTGTTACCTTTTTATTGGCTTTTTGTTTGTTTTATTGTTTTTTTTTATTGGCTTTGTTATTTCGCTTCGTTTGTCACTTCACACGCACTGTCCTTGTGTTATGCGAAGCTCGCCGGTGCGTATACGTAATGCTAAATGTGTGTAATGCTCGGCGCGACCATTCAAACTGGCGAAAAATGTGAACAAGTGAACCGTGAAATTTAGTTGCACAACGGGTGGCGCTGCGGTTGGTGTTTGTTGCACTGGTGCGGCTATAAGTTATGTGTACTATTTTACAACGCACTTTTCAAGGTGAGTTTTTTTCATTGCATATTAAACGGCTTCAGTTGAGTGTATATGCTTTAAATACCGTTTTTGTTTTAGTTATCGCTATGGCTGGTGCATTTGGTATGTTTTTTGAGTACTGCATGCAGTTCTTTTCCCTCAATTTACATTCAATAAACACTTTAAGAGTTATAACCCTGATTATTTTTCTACGCACTCCCGCTCGCAATGCTATAGTTCCTAGAATATCGATACCAATAAGATGCCAACACTTGGCTCATCCGCATGTTCGCCATATTAGCTTTAGAAATCCAGTAAAACCTAAATAGATTTCTCATGGATCGTATTTATTTACATGGATATGTATGTACTATTTTCTTCTATTTGTGGTTGTTAATATTCTTTATTGATATATTACCGTTTATTGACACTCTTACGTAATTAATGATATGTTACGCGCACACATACACTTATATTTTATGTTGCATGCTGCACTATTCGTTACGCTGAGAAACTGCAAGTAGAGTAAAGAGAAAATAAATTAATTTTAATTTAATTAAAACGTCTTTCAGACGGTGGTCTATGTGTAAATATTTAAGTACGTATGTACATTAGGGTTGCCCTTATTTCGAAAATAGCTCGGATTCTCGGTCTCACCCCTAGAAATGTGTGAACAATAGGGTGGTCCAAAAACAGTAAAGTCGGATTTGTAACCCTCTCACCCCCTTGGAGTGTTCTATATCGAAAAAAAGTATACACCTATTTTTATATTTTGAAATCAAAAAATATTTATAGGTCGCTCAAAGCGCTCAAAGTTTTCTATGTATATTTATATGGGCAAATTAAATTTTTCGTATAAATGGTATAGAGTTCTTGAAAATCGATATTTATCGATCGGAAAGCTCGGGTTCTCTTCAGAAAACTTAACAATACCCAATTGTTTATTTAACCATTTTTTAACACTAACGATTTTTATTGGTCGCCCCATTGCATTTTTCGGGGTTTTCGTGTGTTTTTGGCAAACCTATAAATTATAGTTGCGATTAAAAATATGTTAAATAAATAATTGGATATTTCTATTGGGAATCTCCTGCAGATAAACAGAGGTTTCTGGTAGAAAAATATTTATTTTTAACTATTCTAAACCATTTCTACGAAAAGTTGTTTTTCCCCATATAAAATAATGGAAAACTTTGGGCGCTTTGAGCGACCTCTAAATATTTTTATACCCGAGCGCACTTGTGCACAAGGGTATATTAATTTTGTTCACATAACGGTTGTTTGTAACAGCCAAAACGAATCGAGACAGATATAGACAAATGTATACATAAATGATCAGATGAAAAAATAAATCGATTAAGCCATGTCTGTCTGTCCGTCAGTCTGTCAGTCTGTCCGTCCGTCCGTGTACACGATAACTCGAGCAAAAATTGAGATATCTCAACGAAATTTGGTATGTCGTCATCATAAGGGGGGGTCTCATCCGAGGCTTTGCCTTGCTTCTTCACTGGAAGTGGTTTTTACGTGGCGGGTCCCAAGCCCAGCGCACAACCCATTGCTGGGACGGGGGTGGTTTCGCAACCAAATACACGTTTATATAGCGAGCCGCTTGCTCCAAGCAGACACCCGCTTGCAGCCGCACCTACTGGTGAACAGACGCTGCAGACTTCAGTGAGCCCTTAAACCGAATAAGTCAGAGTGGCCCCACCGAAGCTCCCTCTCTTTCTGCCGTGACCCAAGGCTCCACTCGGATTGGTTACCGCATCTCGCACATGGGTTGCTCACGTTGCCCAGAGTGGGCGAACGAGGACGCAAGAGTCGGGATTGAGTATAGCCAGCGCAATGAGTATACCCCATTGCACTCCTGGTTTGCATGTGGGTTTCCCTTAACCCAAGGTAGGTTGGTATTGAAAATGGGCGAAATCGGACTGTAGCATACCAAATGGCCGACAATTTTTAAAATCGGACAATAACCACGCCTACATCCCATAAAACGGTAATTTTCGGAAATACGAAAACTGCGATATTTTAGTAACTACTGAAGATTATTCACTAAAAATTGATATTTACAACAATTTTTAGACGAAAAATAAGAATATTATAAATTTTTGGAAAATGGGCGTAGCCACGCCCACTTATCGTTACATGTGTATATCTTAGGAACCACTCCACCAATTTCTTCCAAGCTTGGCACAGTTGTTAGCCTTGGTACAGCATACAAAATCGCCGAAAATTTTTAAAATTGGACGATAACCACGCCCATATCCCATATGACGGTAATTTAGAGAAATACAAAATCTTCGACAAATAAGTAAATATTGAAGTTAATTTATTCAAAATTGATGCCTGCAACAATTCGTTGCTAAGAAATACGTTTATGGTAAAATTTTGAAAAATGGGCGGGGCACCGCCCACTTATGATCACATATATGTATATCGGTAACGGTTCTACCAATTTGTACCAAACTCGGTGTGGTTATTGTGCTTACCACATGAAAGCAAAGGATTGAAAATTATTGAAATCGGACTAAAATTACGGCCGCTTTTCATATAACGGTAAATTTCAGAAATGCTTGAAATTTCAATATTTCGAAATTGAAGGCTGCTAATTTACTCAAAAGTGATACACCCCGGCTTACCATCTAGCGGTAGGTTTCGGAAAGGTGAAAAAACATATATTTAATATCTGCGCCGGGTATTTAATGTTCGGCTCCGCCCGAACTTAGACTTTCTTACTTGTTTGATTTCAAAATAAAAAAATAAGGGTATAATTTTTTCGGTATAGAACAAGGGGTGAGAGCATAAAAATTCCGACTTTACTTTTTCACATGCATTTTTGGACCTCCCTAGTGAACATCCTATAGACTAAACTATGCAAAATTTTAGATCAATCAAAATAGATTTAGAGGTGGCTCAAAGCGCTCAAAGTTTTAATATTCAATATTTTTCACTCGACAGACTCTTTTTCTCTTCAGGAGACTTTCAGAAAAAAACACTCAATCGTTTATTTCAGAGATGCTCAACAAACTATATGAATCGATTTCGTTTTGTTGATGAGCAAAAATTAGAGATGAAACGATACTAGTAAATACAAGTACATAATCGATACTTTTCGTCCGATACCAAGTAATTTTGTACTCGATACTTTAGAACCGAGTACTGAGTAGGTATCGGAAAAAAGTACTTGTATCGAAACCCCAATTCATTGACAGTTTTATTCCCGGACTTTTTTTTTTTAATCTAATTTCTTTGTGAATAGTTTAGTTGCCAATGAAAACCGCAAGAAGGTGCCAAGGTCGGGGTGACGCCAATTTTGACAATTTTAAAAAAAAGGGCGCGCGTTCTATTTCTTTCGTAGCGAATGAACCTGCAAATTGGATCGAGCAAGAGTCAGAACGCGCTGGAATTCACTCTTTTACATGCTGGAAAGATTTTTGGATATGTCCAAAATTTCGTCTCAACTTATACTAGATGCAACAGACAGTCCTGAAATCATAGCAAAAAATGAAATAGAAATACTGAAGCAAATAGTTCAGCTACTGAAGCCTTTCGAGTTCGTAACCAAAGAATCTTCAGGACAGAATTATGTCACACTTTCCAGGATCATACCTATGGTTAACTGCCTAACATCTCAAGTGAGTAAATTTTCTACAACTCTTGATTGTGTCACCCAACTACAAACGAAACTCCTGGCGGAGTGTAGTATAAGATTTGGTCTCATTGAATACAACACCTACGCAGCTTTAGGAACTATCCTCCATCATCGCTGCAGGATGCGAACGCCTGCGGTCGGACAATTTTTAAACTAAAAAGTCTTATTCAAAAATACACTAATACCAGCTCCGAAGAAGACGTTGTTAAAGAAGATTTTGACTTTTGGTACCAACATAAAAAGCTTGCGATTGGACAAAAACGAAAACGCTCTACAAAAGGTGATGAGTTGTAGCTTTATTTATTAAACCCCGTCTGATCTTGTAGACCCCTTTCAAAAATTGTTTGGTTTCGGTGGGCCCCCTGCTGATAAATTTTTAAATATTCCCAAAGCTCGTAAGAAATTAAATGTGAAAATGTGAAAATTAGATCGCGGGTGAATTCAAAAACTAAAATCAGAGTGGCCAAAATAAAAGTAAAATATTTTCTATTTGTCAATGTTATTGTGGCTTATTAACATTTTATTTGTAATATTTTATTGAACAATCGTGGTATTGTTTATTATAACTTCTACCGCTTAGACTATGTCGCTTTCTCAACTTTTCCTAACAAACAATCGTGGTACAAGGCTCAATAAATATTTTAAAATATTTTCTATTTATAAAAAGATTGTGATTACACACTTGTAAGTTTTGAAAAATAGAGCTCGTAAATACATCAAAATACTTTCTCGCTCGGAAGAGTTATATTTTTTAAGAGCACTGCAAGCGCTAGCTATATTTATATTATCTTCACCATAAACTCATCAAATGTTCCGCTCACTAATGACTTTGCACGTGGAGTATATGTAAAATAGTTTATTTGTGTTAATGGCATCATTTTTATTATTAACGCTCCGAGTTTTAAAATGAGGCGAAAAATATTTTTTCACGTTTTTTGAAACACAAAACTTAAAACATCAAAACGGCTAAGCTTTTTACGCCAAACTTTTAGTTAAGAAACTGACAATGGAGAAAAGAGCGAGTTTAAAAAATCGATGACAAATAACCAAGCAAGCAAGAAGCACAAAAAGTGTTCCACCGTCTCATCATCTTCAAGGCAAGATGGGCAAATGGACTTGTCGTTTACGCCTATCACAGTGACCAGTCAGCAGTCCACCAAGTTGTCTGTAGTGTCATCTGCTCATTGAGAGCAAAAAATCAGATAGACCTTGTGAGATTGAAGGCAACATGAGTTTTGCCCACCTCGATGCCTCTCAGTCATTTCTGAGCGAAGTATTCACCCAGTTTCTGATGGTGGCTTCGATTGCCGAAGGTGGGAGTGCTAAAACTGGTTGCGGACCGAGGAATGCCTGGTCTGAGCAAACTCTGGCCAAGTGATCAGATGTCTCATAACGAGGTACTCCAGAGTGACCTGGTACCCAGAGTAAAACAACCTCGTTATGTTCACCATCATATTTTAGTCGAGCCTTGCATTGCCGAACTAGTTTGGAAGTACTTAAATAGAGGGCTGGTCAATGCATTAAGTGCAGCTTGGTTGTCACGTAAACTCCTTCTCCTCCACCTATGTTCCACCACGTAGTCCATGGCTTTGAGTATTACAATTACCTCAGCCTGGAAGACCGAAAAGTGAAGCTTATCTCCATTAACCTCAAAAAAGACCCCAGATCATGACCCAGAGTCAGTTTTTGAGCCATCAGTGAGGATTCGACAATATGTGAGTCTGGTCTGAGCGATGGAATCAAACCAGAATTCAGTCTCAGGGAACTCAACATTATAGAATCTCTTCAACAAAGGTAATGGTGGCGTACTATCCTGTAGCATTGAAAATACACAAATGCTTAAATCTCTGCCGCCAGCAATT